GTCTCTATGTCTCTCTCTGTCTGGCAAGCACACACACCCTATAGCAAAAAAAAAAAAAAAAAAAAAAACCTCCACAAAAAAAAAAAAAAAAAAAGAATGACAAAGAACAAAACAGAAATTGGAAATGAACAATATCAGGAAAGAAACAGGGAATGTCTCCATAGACTCTGCAGACACCAAAAGGATAGTAAAGGAATATTATAAAATGCTACACAAATAAATTGGACAATTTAGGAGAAATGAACCGATTCTTTGAAAAACACAAACTACTGAAACTCATCCAATATGAAACAGATCATTATAGGTCACTTATAAGTGTTAAGAAAATTGAATTTGTCATTTTAAAACTCCCCAAAATAAATCCCCAGGCCCAAGTGGTTTTAATGGAGAAGTTTAGCAGACACTTAAAAAAGAATGACTACCACCAATTTTACACACTATCTTCCAGAAATTGGAAGGGGGAGAGAACACTTCTTACTCATTTTTATGAAGTTAGTATTGCACTCAAAACCAAAGACAGGACAAAAGAGAAACGACCAATATTCCTTTTAAATATAGACATGATAATCCTTGGCAAGATATTTGCAAATAGAATGCAGCAATATATAAAGAGAATTATATACCATAATCAAGTTTCAGGGATTCAAGGCTGATCTGGTGTTTGAAAACCAATGTTATCCACCGTACTAACAAGTTAAAGAAGAAAAATCACATGATCATATCAATTGATGTAGAAAAAGCACTTGACAAAATTCAGCACCATTCACGGCAAAAACTCTCAGAAAAATAGGAATAGAGAGAACTGTAACTTGACATAGAACATGTTTTTTGTTTTTTGTTTTTTGTTTTTAATATGCCTAGCGGTATATGTGCAGGCCAGAGACACACAGAGGGAAAGGGAGGAAGCTCCTTACAATAGGCATAGTCATGCTGCAATCCCTTCTTGTCCATTTACCCCTCCCTGAGTGATTTTGGGCACATATACTCACGTGCCTGACGCGTTTCTCAACCTCCAGGGCCGGGACTTAAATGCATCATTGACCATGTGGGACCTGGCTCCCTTAACCACTAGCTATGGAGCTGGCCCTCCCTTTTGTTTTGCCATTACACAAAGAATGGAATTCAAAGGGTTTCCTCAGCTCCTCTTTTACAAATCACTGTTGAAGACAGTGAGGATCCCTTTCATGCCTCAACTGCAATCCATGAGCAGACCCTGGCTTCAGTTCTAAACAAGACAATGGAAGCAGTAAGAGGAACCCATTGGGAAAAGGACTGCAGGTTTTCCTCTCAGCTCTCTCCCTCACACGGTGGAAAACCTCCCAAGAGTTCTGAAAGCAGCAGGGTGGGTTAATCTCGGGGAAGAAAGCTATCTCCTATTTCAAATACAGTATTGTTTATCATATACAGCATTGTTTATCATGCCCTGAAACATGCAGGAGGGAGTTTCCAGCATGGTCTCATAGGGGTCACCTCATGCCTACAGAGAAAGGTCCAGGATAAGCCAGAGTTTAGACAGGGAGCGCTCTGATCTGGGTGGATGGAGTTAGGCAGAGAAGGCCAGATCAGAGGCCACCCCTCAACAGCACACTACAGTGGTTTGAACTGCCACTCCTCAGCTGGGAGGGCAGAGCTTTTGAAGGGCTTGGCCTGCCGTCAGCTTCCCACCTTCCTTTTCTTGCTCTCCAGTGGGGACGACACAGAGTCTAGAAACTTAAAGGCACTGATACAAAGCCTGGGGTGCTAAGAGCACAGACCTTTGAATAGGCCCACCCCTGTCAGTTGTGAGGACCAGCAACCTCACCCCTAGGGCAGTGTCGAGTACCATCTGTGAAACTTCTCATGGTTTACAGAGTAGCTACACCCTCACAGCCTCAGCCATTACAGCTTTGTGGGCCAAAGATGACCCTTATCCCTATTTTACATGTGTCCAAGTTGAGCTTTGGAGAAATAAAAAGGATTACTCAAAGTAGTTCTCAAACTAAACTCATTCCGTTCTATAATCCTACCTTTATCAAGTTACCAATAATAATAATGATCAATTACTATTATCTTTTTGAGCATCTGTTTATACCAGACATATGATTAGGTGCTTCCTTTCCATTAGTTTGTCCCTCAATACAGCCCCAGGAGTAGCAGGGCGACCCCACTTCACAGACCCAGAGAGGTACTATCATACGAGGTCATCCTTGGTGCCACTGTTCTAACCACCTTAATGTGTATTAACTTACTCACTTTTCCTAGCAGTACTGTTAGAATAAACATGAATATCATTTCCATTTCAGAGATATGGGAGTGGAGGCTCAGAGACATCAGGTGAATTCTCTGAGGCCACACAGCAAGGACAAGGATCCAAACCTTGGTCTGAAGGAGCCTTGCCACTATTCTGCATCTCTGGCAGCACAAGCAACTTACTCAAGGAGACACATTTAGATGATGCCAGCATCTGATTGGCACCCCTGCCCAGCTAAAAACCCAGAACCTTCCCACCCAGCTGTCCCATCAGTAGGGCTGCAGGGGTGCTCTGGATCACGTGAGAGGTTTCCTCCTTTCTTTCCAAGAGACAATCCCCTGAGAAGCGGTCCCCAGAAGCAGGGTGCATAGAGGCAGAGCCCTTGATGACAGCATTGGGAGGGTCCGGTTGCCTAAGCATCATCCTTGGCCGATTCTCCTCTCTGCTGGTGGCTGGCTGGCTGAAACCAGCTCTGGACACTCTAAAAAAACTTTCCCTTGGTCCCCACTGGAAGAGCTGGATGAGAGGTGGAGGGGGAGCTGGGAGAACGAGTCGGTCCTCCACCAACCCTGTCTGTCCTTCTGGTAGGGGGAGAGAGCAGCCGGGTGGGGGTGAGGGAAAGGGGCGTAGAGGAGTGGTTCTGGAGTTGTGGGGAAGTGTAACCTAGCAACCACTGGGCTCATGCAGTCACAAAGCAGATAGACTTGCCCACAGGACAACAAGCCTTCCCCTTGATTTGTCCTCCTGCTCTTTCCTGCTCCAGCGGCAGGGCTCCTTACCCACATGCCATAGCAGGCACGCTCCTCGGTGAGTCCAGGGGCCTCCAGGGAGGAGATGGACATGCAAGGACCTAGTGGTGTGGAGCTGGAATGGGAAGTTTTGTGGCTGGGTGGTGGGGGGAAGACTTCAGACCTCTAGTGCTGGGGACCTGGGGACAGAGAGCAGGGCAGGGTTAGGGCAGGCCACAGTGAGGTCCTGCCTGTCCCACTCTGGAAAATATAGGCCTAGCCTGCCAGAGTCCTTGCTGACCCTGTTTGGTAGCTGTGAGTTGTGACCCTTTAATGGCTTATTAAATCAATTTAATAGGTCATATCTGATATTTATAAAGTGAAACAAAAAATCGAATGAAAATATCAGTGTGCATCACATATAGTGTGGTGAATATTGCTTCAAAATATTGTTTCAGTTTCACATACACACACAAGCACACATACACCTGTGAGTAAATGGGGTCTTGATGTAAAATGAATTTCTGACTATAGTCACAGTCAAAAGTGTTTTTGTTGTTGTTTTAGTTTGGCATTGGGTACGTGCACTTGTAGGGTGGGAGGAAATGGCCATGTCACAATCTCCTCTCCTCCCTTCTCCTCTTGGGATTGGGGGCACACATGCTTACTGGCCCAGCACGTTTCTCAAGCTGCTGGGTCTCGGACTCGAACTACTCAGTTGGCCATGTGGGATCCAGCTGCCTTAACTTCGGTACTACCTACTGGCCCTCCGCAGTCCAAAGTATGTGAAAGCCTCTGTTCTAAATAGTACCTTGTCCTATAAGCAAACAGATTTGGGGGTTCCAAATACCCCATCCTCAAGCTTGTAGCATCTGGGTACTCTTAACAGTCCAGCTCCAGCAACAAGGATGCCCAAAGCTCCCTTAAAGTGAAGCTCTGCCAGTCATTCTTAGAGAAAAGAGTGGGAGACTACCAGTCAGACACGTGGGCTCTGGTTCTTTGCTGTGTGACCTCAGCAAGTCTTGTTTCTTCCCTGACCTCAGACAATGCCGACCAGTCACACCCTAACTTGACGAAGCTGGCAGAGAGGGAAGCTCTGGGATCTTGTAGGTTCTGTGACTTTAAGGGTTATTTTCAGCTCACACTCATTTCCTGTCCCAGCCCCAGCCCCCGTGCTGTGGCTACATACTTCTCTCTAGGTCCATAGGTTTAGATTAATCTCACCCTTTGTTTTGACACCTATCATCTTCCACACATTTCATTTAATCAGTTTATTTAATGATATAATGAACACTAGGAAATGTACCACTGAAATCTAGAACTAGAAGTTCATAACTTAACACCTCTCCTTACTCCTACCCATCTGCCCTTCCTCAGAAGGAACCACTGTCTAAATTTCGTGCTCAGCATTTCCTTGCTCTGTGTGTGTGTGTGTGTGTGTGTGTGTGTGTGTGTGTGTGTGTATTTTAACACAGGTTTATGATCATCTTGTTAGCTTTTGAACTTTAATTTTTAAAAAGGATCTCAGGCTAGGACCAGCTACGTGGCGTGGTGGTTAAGGCAGCTAGATCCCACATGGCTAGTCACATGGTTTCAGTCCTGGGACCTGGCAACTTGAGAAATATGCCAGGCACATGTTCATAGATGTCCTAAATCACAAGAAGACGGAGAAATGGAGAAGAGGTTGCAGTGCGATCATGCCCTGCTCTAGTGGGTGCTTTCTCTTTCTCTCTCTCTCTCTCTGGTGAGCACACATACCCTCTGGCAAAAAATAAAAATCTTAAGCTATATAGTCTCCTAGAACTTGCTTTCTTTGACAGCATTATTTTTTGTAAGATTAATCTATGTTATTGCATGCAGCTTTGATTCATCACTTAGTTTCATAGCAATAACATGTTCCCCTGTCTGAATGTACGATGGCTTGTTTATCCACTCTTCTGCCAGTGGACCTTTGGGTTACCATCAGATTTTTACTATTTTTTCTTTTTTTTTTTTTTTTGGAGAGATTTTCACTGTAGGGCGCGTGAGCTCGCCAGACAGACAGAGAGAGACATAGAGACAGAAAGCGAGAAATCGCCCCCCAGGGGGGATGGTCACGCCACAATCCCTTCTCCTCCATTCTCCTCTCAGGATCTTGGGCACACACGCACACGCGCCCGGCGTGAGTTTTAAGCCACCGGGTCCGGGACACGAACCGCGGTCGACTACGTGGGAGTCCAGCGACATAGCCATTACGCTAACTGCTGGTTCCCAGATTTTTACTATTTTGAACAATGTTTGTATGAATATTCTTATAAAGAGCCCTTGATGCACATCTGCAAGAGTTTCTTGCTGGATGACACAGCATGCAAGTGTTTGATCTCACAAGAACTGCCAATTTCCTCCTTAGAGTGTCTGTTCCCGTTTACACTCCTACTACCAGTCTATGAGAGTTCTTGCTACCCAGCTTCGACCCTACTACTAAGTGCACTGGTCTTTGTCCTGTTGGAAATAGAACAAATGGCTACAGAGGTGACATCTCAGTTGGTTGAGCATCCACTGATGAGGTAAGATCCCAATGTCCACCCTACTGACCAAGGAGGTGGAGGGGGCAAGGTAGGGTGGAAGACAGAAGACAAATATAACCTTGGGGAACTCATTAAGCTGGGTGTCCAAGAGAAGCAGGTTTTCCTTGCCTTTCATGGCCAGTCAGCCAGGCCCCTGTGGGTCATCAGGCCTAAGTCAGCACAAGTGGGCCTATCAGGTATAAAGAAGAGGTGAGCAAGGGAGAGAATCCTTGAGCACAGGAATTCAGGGGATTTCAGGAGGTGACTTCCTCTGTTGGATGGGGGCAGAAGAGGCTGGCCAACAGTGGCTTTCAGAAAAGATTTACTTGTTTTTGTTTAAGTCCCAGATCCGTTAGAAGCGAATCAAGAATGGAACAGGAAACTCAGGGGCCCGGTCAGCGAAGTCCTCAGAGGGTCCCGGGGCAGCGTGCCTTGCTTAGCATATCCAGAGTCCACCTATACTCCTCCAGAGGGACTCCCTTCAGCCAGGGCCACCAGGAGAAGGGAGTGCAGTCAACCATCAGGCAGGTGGTCCCATCAGGCCCCCGGCAGAGAGTGGCCCACCGCTGGATCCTTGCTGGGCTGACCTCGACCTCTTCCTCCAGGGGCAGAGGAACAGCATCCTCAAGACTTCATCAGGATGGGGAGGGGTGCAGTGGGGGCCAGAGAACCTGAGACGGCTTGTCTCCAGTGAAGCTCAGCGAGAGCTTGAAGCTTCCCTGCAGCGTCACAGCGTCACAGCCCTGCTAGCCACCCCATCAGCTCTGCATCTCCGGGGAGGGACCCAGAGGAAGGGAAAGCGACTTGCTGACTTAGCCTGGCCTTGGCTCGGGCTTTGGCCCCCGGATGCTGAGTCAGGGCCAAGACTGCCCCTGAGGGTATTGGGGGAGGGTGACAGCCTCAAACTGGCTTCTCCTGGGCTGCCAACAATTTGGCTTGTGGAGGCGCCCTTGTTGGGACCAGCCCAGGCCCCTAGGGAGTATATATAAGGTGCCTTTGCCCCATCTCAGGTGTATGGATGAGTAGGTGGGTCTGTGGGTCTGTGGCTCCTCTTTCTGGTTTTAGAAATGGTGTTGGGGGAAAAAATTGGTCCTTGGGGGACTCCATCTGAGTTTTCTCAGATAGATCCCAGGTCTCTACTAAGGCATCTGGGGTAGACAGAGCTCAAGGACACTTGGAAGGCTTTGATGCCGTGGGTGTCTCTGGGGAACAGACTGTTAACACACACTGAGCTCTGAACTCCCGTGAGCACTGCTGCCAAGAGCAGGCTCCATGAGCTTTTCCTTAAACCTCTTCTTCAGTCCAAAGGCTGCGCTGAAACCGGAGAAGAAGTCAGGGCACTGGCCAAGGAGCCAGGGATACTCCAGCGGCTCGCAGAAAGAAGTGGTGATCCCAGGGGTTGTGGATTTCCAGCTGATTCAGGAGGCACTGAGGGTCCCCAAGCCCCAAACGCCCTGTGCCTACCGCTTTGGCCGTCTCAGCCACCACTCCTTCTTCTCCCGGCACCACCCTCACCCGCAGCGTGTGACCCACATCCAAGGTAGGGCCAGTGGGCCAGGGTCTACTTGGGGGGAGGGCCAAGGAGTTCTAGTAATTGGTCTTGAGAACTGGAAAGGAGGTGTTGCCTCCAGCCCTGTCTCAAGCTGAGGCCCAAAGAACATGAGAGCCTCAGCCAGGGTCATAGAGCTGCCAAGCACCCAAGCCAAGACTTGACTTGGGCGTCAGGTGAGTAGCACAGCCTCACAGGACAGCTCAAGAAGGGCACCTGCAGGATTCCCCTCACTGCTCAGTCTCTCGTTCCACAGAGCAGAAAAAGGGATGCATGTTCTGCCCCACAGCTGGGCTCTGTTCTCTCACTCAGGCCATTTCACCCACTCAGTCATCCCTCCATCAAGTATTTACTTAGTGGGAACTACAGGTAAGGGGATCTGACCAGGAACAAAACAGACATTGTCGCTACCCTCCTGGAACTGAGCTCCAGTGGGGAAGAATGGCAAATAGGTAAGGTGCCAAGTGCCAAGGCCACAGAGGGGAGACTGCTCTCGCTAAAAGGTGGTTATAGAAGGTCTGAGCAATACCATGACATTTTTAAAGAACTAAAGGAAGAGAGTATGAGGAGAGCAATGTCCCAGGAAGATGGATCAGCCCATACAAAGACCTTCAGGCTGGGGACCCTGGCTCTGTTGAAAAAACAACAAGGAAGCCTACAGGTGGCTGGAGCAGAGGAAGGAGGGGAGAAGAAAATTATGTCAAAGAGGCAACCAGGCTAGGTCTGACGGGCCTCTCATGCTACTGTTGTCACCATCACCACTGCCATGAAGCCGCTCCCTGAGATACTGGAGATGGAGCCACTGGAAGGTTGGGAGCACAAGAGTGTGAGCTGTGTTAGCAAAGTCACCCTGGCCTTTGTCTCGGTGGCGGCTCGGACCAGGTGGGTAGCAGTGGGCAGTCAGTGGCCTATTCTTAGAGATAGAATAAAGGTAAACTGGTAGGACTCGGCAAGTGATTGAAAAGTGGAGCATGAGAGGAAGAGAGAAGTACAGACTGACCCTGGGGCTCCAGAGCTGAGCACTGGAGAACTGAAGTGCATTGGCTGAGAAAAAGCAGTCTCTGCAAGGCTGTGGAGTGAGAGGACAAAGGGTCTGGTCTTGAACTTGGACTTGTAAGATGTGAAATACAAAGATGACTTTGAGACCTCCAGACGAAGGGAGGTATAGGTAGGCAGTCAGAGCTGAGTGTAGGGGAGAGAGACGATTATGACAGCGTTTAGAAAAGACACGTTGGGGGTTTAAGTGATGTGCCTGGGTGGGATCATCCAGGAGTCCATGAAGATCCAGAAAGGAAAAATATGGGAACTGGACCCTAGGAACCCCGATATTAAGAAATAGAGAAGGTTGAAAAACTTCCACAGAGGAAATGAGGACAAGCCAGTGACTTGGGGAAGGGCAGGAGAGTGAAGGGGTCCTGGGACGATGCTAAGTGCCAACTGGGTTGGTCCTTCAAATATAACTCTCAGTAATAATGAAATGACCACCCAGACTTCAGGCTGAGGGATCTAATCGCCTCCAGACTGTCCTGCATGCCACTTCACACAAGCTGGCAGTGGACATTTCTCCCCGAGGTCTAGTTCCATCTCTCTCTCTCTGTGACTTAATGCCCCACCCCAACATCCTCATATTAAAGCTTCCCACTCCTGTGTGTCACACCTGTAATTCATTTCCCTGTCATAGGAAACCAGAAGGACCTGAGGACTGGGGATCTAGGAAGCCCAAGTTCTGTCTCATCTCTGCCCAACTCACTGCATGGCCCTGAGTAGGTCCCTTTCCCTGTCCACTCTAAGTACGCCCATGGGTAAGGCGGTCACTGGTCTAGGCAGTTGCAAGGGTCCTTCCAGGTCAGGTGGTCTACGGGCTTGTGGTGACTAGGAAAAGTGGAGTCAGAGCTCTCCCTGCCCACCAGCCTCTTTCTGGCCTCCTAGAGCTTTGGGGGCTCACCCAGGTCTTCCCGGCCATATCATCTAAACCCTTCACAGATCTCACCGGAAAGCCTGTCTGTGTTGTCAGGGACGAGTTCTCTCTGACCTCCTTGCCTCAGCCTGCACTCTTATCCCGCTGTCTGATGGGGATGCCCACCATCTCTGTCCCCATTGGAGACCCACAGTCCAATCGGAACCCCCAGCTTTCTTCTGGTGAGTACATGGGCCATACCCTGCAGCCTTGGGGCTCACACCTCTTCCCACTTGGGTGGATGCCTGAGAAGGAAAGGGTCTTTGCTCTTAGGTCAATGAGGTCCACTGGGGGAACCCAACTTATTTCCTCATTCCCTTGGGGAGCTCTCTATATTATCTCTACACTATCCCCCATAGCCCAGGTCCCCCTGTTTGGATCACAGTCATATGACATACAGCTGTGGCATGATAGAAATGATACTTGAGACTCAGTACCTTGTCTGCTCAGGCACTGACCCATCAGAATAGTCACCCACAGCCCTGAAGCAGCCTGCTGGAGGCTATCATTTACCCTTTCATTACTGCAGTGCAAGAAAGTTAGGCTGGTGGGGGTGGGGGGGGATGGATCCTGGGGAAGGGCTGAGGCAGCCAGTACCAGGCTGCAGGGTTCTTTGCCAACCTCTCTAGGGAGCAGCTCGTTATCTTAACAACTGGCACAGCTACACATTCTGGCTTCAGGCACCTACAAGAGGCAAGGCTAAATTAAAGCACATGCACCTTGGCACATGTCACCAAATGTTCTCCAGTACTCCCAGTAATGCCACAGGCCAGCCCCTCTGTAAGAGAAGCAACCATCATTCTACCCTGCCTCACCCCCCAGTGTGAGTTCCAATCCTTCTTCATCAAGGGCATTGCCTGTCCCTCTAAGATGTGGGGCAGGAAAGCCCAGAAGGAGAGGAGACTCTTCTACATAGAACCCTCCCTGCCCTCCTGAGCCTGGTGCCACAGGGAGGGGGAGGAGGACCCCAGATATCAGTTGGCAGGATCTTGTCCCCTCCTCCCAGAAGCCTGGAAGAGTGAGTTGAAGGAGCTGGCTTCCCGGGTGGCCATCTTCACCAAGGAGAATGAGCTGAAGAACAAAGAGGTGGGTGTGGAACAAAGGAGCTGTCTAGGAGGAGGTGAAATGGATCCATTTCTTTGTAACAGAATCCCTCTCAAGGCGTTGGACCTAACCAGAGTTCCTTGGAAGCTCTGCTGTTGGCTCTGGGGAAGAGGGCCAATGAGTACAACGTCAGGGAGGTGGGCCACGGTGAGGGCCAAAGGAGGGAGAAAATACAGCCACGTGGAGAAACCCAAGAAGGGTGTAGAGGAGAGGTGCTTGGGGGGGGCCCGCTCAGTGTAGACGTGGGTTGTTTACAAGTGGACGGGGGAGGCATGCTGAGCAGAGGCACCTCACACAGAAGCTGGCAAATGTAGGACATTTTTAGACACCAGGGTCCAGAGGACAGGGTACTAGGGGACCACTGACATCAAAGGTGGAGAGCAGAAGCTTGTTCATTTCCCTACTTAGCCTAGCATCTAATCACGTAAGGAGTAGCACTGAAGGATTTCAGATGGATGGCGGTGACCAATGTGATAAACAGTAAGGACAACTTGAAGGTTATTGGGATTGATCTTAGGACAGGCCTGACCCCTGAGGCTGGGTCTGATCCTGCCCTTTGTCTTCAGCAACCAGAGTGGACAGGCAGGGGCCTGACTTCTCAACCTACGCAAAGCTAACTCACTGCAGCACTCAGGCAGCTCCACTCAGCCATGTGGGTTTGTTTTCTTATCTTTAAAATGGGGAGGATACTGCCAGTCTTGGCCAGAATTGCAAAAGGCAGGCTTCCCAGGGAAAGACAGGATGCCAAGCTGTGGGGGACACAGAAGGGGCAGCTGAGCTAGGAGTTCAGGAAGATGAAGAGACCTTGGTGCAGGACACTGTCTTGAAATCTGATGGACTGGGGAGGGGCAGCAAGGAGGCTCGGTCTGGGAGGAAGAACAAAGAACACCCAGGTGTCCAGCGTTCAGCCCTCTGAGGCTGTTTCCTGAAAGAAGAGTTTTGCTACATAAGCCGTCTACAGTGGGAGGGCTTGCAGCTGGGGAGCTAGTCAGGGATGCTGCCCATGTAGTCAGGGAGGAGTCCTCTCGACCTCCTGGCCTCAGCCACATTCTTATCCCGCTGTCTGATGGAGATGTCTAGGACAGGGTGGTGGCAGCCTGGATGATATTCTGGGTCCCTGGTGATGCTGTGATGCTGGGCTTTGTGGGGCATCCTGGACAAGTGACCTGGACATGTGACCTGGCTGCTTCCTGCTTCCCATCCCAATCGCTGCCTGGAGTCTCTGGCCACTTATTTCCCAGCAGAAGGAGGAGCCTGCTCGGGAGCAGGGAGCGAAGTACTCGGCTGAGACTGGTAGGCTCATCCCCACTTCAACCCGAGCTGCTGGGCGCCGCAGCTCCCACCAGGGTCAGCGGAACCACCCTTCAAGCAGAGATGGAGGACTTCAGACCTTCCTCCTACAGGATCAGGAGCTGCTGGTGAGGCCCTGGCCTGAGGGCAAAGGCTATAGCAGTTCCCAGGTTCCCGGCCTCTCCCAGCTAGGGTTCTTACAAACTGTTTTAAGTCTGGCCTCCCTCAGGGATACTGGCACCCAGGATTGCCAGCCTGGAAAACCCCAGTCCCAGGAGTCAGCAGCCTGGGCTCTAGTCCTCACTCTCTCTAGGTTTCTGTGTGAGTTTGTCCCTGTCTGTGAAAGTCCTTTCCCCTCTTTGGGCCACAGTTCCACGATCCATCCAAATGGAGACTATCACACATTACCGGCTGTGGCATGCAATGAGTTAATGGAGAGAGTGCAGTGGTAGAATGAGAAGCATGGGTTGGAGGTCCCGTCTAGTGTGTTCTAGGCCATATCCGAGGAGGTGCAGCCTGCAGCCAGTCCCAGCCTGGTCTCTCACAATCTAGAAGGATTTGGGCCTATGCTTCAGGGGAGCACAGAATTCCCCTCCTCCACGTTTGAGTTTCCCCACTGAGGCCTAAGACGAGTTTGTGCTTCATTCCCATGGGTTAAGTCACTGGAGGTCCCTGTTAAAATGCACACATGTCTTCCAGGAGAGGTCAGACATAGAGCCAGCCCCTTGTCACCTTCCTTCTGACCAGCACTTTCAGATATGCTGTCCCTTGGGAGCCTTGCAATAGTCCAATGAGATGGAGAGAGTAGACAGGGCCCAGGACCCCCAGTCCACATATGGGGAAACTGAGGCTCGCCAGGTGATATTCCATGGCCCAGGTCCCCCAGAGAAGGAGCAGTGTAGCCAGGACTAGAACACAGTACTTTCTCCACCGTAGGGCAGCTACACCTCGCCTGGAATTAGGTTCTCGGGTCCTGTGGGGAGGGGGCAAAGGGCAGGTAAGTTGGATGCGAAGCACGGAGAAGGGCCCCGGGCAGATCAGGGTGGGCCACCACAGTGGGTGGTGCCTGGGGGGTGGTACTTGTGGAACATCCCCCCTCACTTCCCCCCTTAAGTAGGCATAGGCTGGGGAGAGGCCCAGCACAGTTCCCGCTCTGCCAAGGACAAGGCAGACCTGCTGGGGACCGATGGGCCTTGCCAGGTCCTGGGGAGATTGATGCCAAGTGCTGGGGAAACCTCACTTTCCTAGGACTCCAAGGGCTCCGCCTCCCACCAATGGCCCCAGTTCGTGCTCGCCATAGCCAAGTTCGCCATCACCAGCTTGGCCTAGGGAGACCCCGTAGCTCATCCGACACAGAGCTGGAGCTTCTCCTGATGCTACTTGAATGGAGAAAGCAGGAGGAAAGGAGGCCCGAAGTAGCAAAGATGTCAAAGGCTAAGAAGGCAGCTAGGAGCCAAGTGCACAAGCTACCCGGCAGGAAGGAGCCCCAAGCTGGGCAATTTGCAGGACCAGTTCACCTTGACCCTCGGGCTATCCACTGGGATCTACCCACCTCTTTGCTAAGATCTCCAGACTCCTGGAGCTTCAGGGTTGGGAGGCCTGTGGGGTTCCTGAAATCCCTACACCACGGACTCGGGCATGTAGGACTCGGTGCGTCTCCAAAAGCTGCCTAGCCAGCTCTGACTGCTTCCCAGTGAGGGACACAGGGGTACAACGAGCCTGAGCAGGCTCCAGGGATGAGGGGCCCACATATCTGATGTCTGAGGCTTAGTTCTGCCACAAACTTCCTGTTAGGTGTCTTCTTTTCTGAAGGCCTCTGACTCTTTACCTGTCCAGTGGGGAGGTTAGGGATCTTCCTCTAGGACTGATGTTGGAGAAGGTCCTCTTTAAAGTGCAATATTCCATTCAGAGGGAGGCAGGGGCCATTGAGGGGACCAATTTAGCCAAGCAAGGGACTAGGAGACCAGTTTGAAGGGAGGGCCTCTTGTGCCCTCTGAACCCACATTTCCCTGTACTCTTGGCTAGAACATGCCTTCTGGTCTCACTGACCCAGGCCCATCCTCCTTCCCACAGGTCCTGGAGCTCCTTTGTCAGATCCTGCAAACAGACTCGCTAAGTGCAATCCAGTTCTGGCTGCTCTCCGCTCCCCCCAAGGGTGAGGACACAGCCCAGTGGACCTATGTTTGGAGGCCGCCAATGTCTTGCTCTTGTTCTCTGGTTCTTTAGGACTCACATGTCATTCAGATCCCACCCCAGGGCCTTCCGCCAGGCCCTTGCCTCCTTTTTGGAGCCCCAAACTAACCCTTTCCTACTGGACAATGTCACTCCTTCCTCCTCACCATCTCTCAGAAGGATTCCTGTGACCCTGCTCCTTGGAGGGAACCCTCCTTAAGGCTGACCTCAGCTCCAGGCACCTGGTATGGAGAAATCCATAGACCATACTTAGCAGACCCAGCCCCTCACACACCATAGTGGGAAATATTCTCTCTCTCTCTCTCTCTCTCTCTCTCTCTCTCATACACACACACACACACACACACACACACAAACTGGTACAAGTATACACACATAAGAACACACATGTAGGCACATGAGCACATGAAAACACATGAAGGTACATACTAGGACAGTGAGTGGAGGACTCATCTAGGAGGGAGCAGGAGTGATGAGAGCCGGGAAGCTAATTAGAGAAGGCTTCCTGGATGAGAGTAAAGGAGGGGAAGAAGGATGGGGAAGGCCAGTCTCCAGTAGACTTCCCAGGTGTGGTGGGCAGGAGGGCCAGACAAGGCCAAGAACAGGTACATACATGCTTGTGTGGCAGGAGAGACGTGGAATGTCTGGGCACTCAGAATACACAGGGCAGGAGAGACATGGGGAACTCCTTGACCCAGGCCTGTGTGCAGAATATAATGGTTGGAGCAAGCTGCCCTCAGCCAGGGTTTGGCAAGAGCGGGATTCCCTACTTCTGGAACTGAGGACTTCACCCCTGGGCTGCACTTTCAGAGAAAGACCTGGCTTTGGGACTCCTGCAGACAGCGGTGGCTCAGCTCCTTCCCCAGCCCCTAGTCTCTATTCCCACAGAAAAACTTTTGAGCCAGCTCCAAGATGTCCAGGAACCATCTCAAGAAAAGCAACAGCCACTCTACAGGTAGGTGAGCTCCAATCCCTCACCTGCCCTCCTGTTCCCAGAACTGCTCCCTCACATTCAGCCATCTGTCCTCCCAGGTGAGACTAGTGGGGCCTAGCCCCTCCCTCAGGGGCCCTACAGTACTGCCCATACTGCTTGAAGGCTAGCTGCCAGCCTGAAGGGCTGCCTGAGGTGTCATCAGTGTCGGTTGTAGCACAAAAAGGCTGGATAAGCCACACTGTCATTCAGAAACTCTTGGTCTACTGGTAGATACTGGTAGAGAGGGAATACTGACTCCAAGCAAGCTCAAGTATCTCTGAACCCATATTAAGTGCTCTGGATGGCTAGAGGAGAAAGATGAATTATGAATGGGGGCCATCCTCACAAAGCAGGAGAGTAGAGCCCGAATGTTAGCAAGGTGACTAACAGTACAGAGCATCTAATATGTTTGTTAGGCACTGCTGGATGTTTTACATAGTTCTAGTCCACACGAAACCCACTGAGGCAGTATCACCTCCATTGCACAAATGAGAAAACTGAGGCTCAGGAACAATTGAATGACTGCAGAGGGTTAGTTTAGTGACCATCCCTACAGCTCCAGTGGTAGGAGGGCCTTGGTTCCCAGGGATCATAGCAGTTCTGGAGCCACAGTTTTCTGGGGCCTGCTTAGGTGATACGGGAAGGTCACCAGCATGCCAGCCTTGGACAGACGCTTTCTGGCTCTTCAGGAGGGGCAACTCCTGACTCTCCCTGGGGTGAACAGCTGAATGCACCTTCACTACCTTCCTCACCTCCTCACCTACCCTGCCACCTGCAGTAGCAAGTTTCCAGCCTGGCCATCCCAACTTCTCCTTTGTATTCGGTTATAGTCAATCCCCGAAGAAGGCAATGACACCACCTCTACTAAAAAGCGAAAAACCAGGTAAGATTCTATGCACTGAGTCATTCTGGGGCTCATCAAAGCCCATTCTGGCTTTAGATCCTCAGGGGAGACAAGACAAGTTGGAGATGAATCCCTGCCCAGGGAAACTGCTCATTCTACCTATTCATTCATTCTTTTGTTTATTTATTCAATGAATGTTTATTGATCACTCACTATGTGAGTTCTGGGTTCATTGGGGAAGAATTTCAACAAGTTCCTGCTGTCACAGGGCTCATATCCTAGGGAGGAAAAGTACAGACAATGACCAAGGGGTGAGTGCTGTAAGGAAAAGTGTTGGACAGTGATGAGGACTGGCAGAGTTGGCAGGGGGTTCCCAGAGCTGAAAGACAGTAAAGATCCAGCTCTATACAGGTCCAGGAAGAGCCTACAGGCAGCACTCCCACCTGCCTGGCAAGCAGGCCAGGATAGCCAGGCCCCAATGTGAGGGAACAGAGGTAAGAGACAGATGAGATAGGTGGGCATGGCCAGCCTGTGGTAAGGCCAGATGTGTATTCTCATGCAGATTCTATGGAGATGTGGAGGTATGGGATGGTTAGAAGCAGGGTGTGCATGACTATGGGGGCGAGAAGGGATGAGGGAGATTGAGGCCACTGCAGCTGTTCAGATGCCTTAGAGCAAAGCACATGGAAGTGGGAGTAGAGCTGGTGGGAAACAGGACAGATATCCACTGTGTACCTTATTCTCCTTCACCAGATGTAAAGGTCCTGAGTGCCTGGCAGGGTGTCTGACAGAGAGTAGGCATTTAACTGACATTTATTACCTGGCTGTTGAAAGACAAGAGGGTGGTGACAAGGCTCAGAGAAGGGAATCAGCTCATCCCAGTTCACCAGCAATGCCAAGAGCAAATATGGGGCTTGACTTGGGCCTCCCCACCCTGCACTCAGACAGCCACTCAGGGCCTAATGGTTGGAGCAAGCTGCCCTCAGCCAGGGTTTGGCAAGAGCGGGATTCCCTACTTCTGGAACTGAGGACTTCACCCCTGGGCTGCACTTTCAGAGAAAGACCTGGCTTTGGGACTCCTGCAGACAGCGGTGGCTCAGCTCCTTCCCCAGCCCCTAGTCTCTATTCCCACAGAAAAACTTTTGAGCCAGCTCCAAGATGTCCAGGAACCATCTCAAGAAAAGCAACAGCCACTCTACAGGTAGGTGAGCTCCATCCCTCACCTGCCCTCCTGTTCCCAGAACTGCTCCCTCACATTCAGCCATCTGTCCTCCCAGGTGAGACTAGTGGGGCCTAGCCCCTCCCTCAGGGGCCCTACAGTACTGCCCATACTGCTTGAAGGCTAGCTGCCAGCCTGAAGGGCTGCCTGAGGTGTCATCAGTGTCGGTTGTAGCACAAAAAGGCTGGATAAGCCACACTGTCATTCAGAAACTCTTGGTCTACTGGTAGATACTGGTAGAGAGGGAATACTGACTCCAAGCAAGCTCAAGTATCTCTGAACCCATATTAAGTGCTCTGGATGGCTAGAGGAGAAAGATGAATTATGAATGGGGGCCATCCTCACAAAGCAGGAGAGTAGAGCCCGAATGTGACTAACAAGTACAGAGCATCTAATATGTTTGTTAGGCACTGCTGGATGTTTTACATAGTTCTAGTCCACACGAAACCCACTGAGGCAGTATCACCTCCATTGCACAAATGAGAAAACTGAGGCTCAGGAACAATTGAATGACTGCAGAGGGTTAGTTTAGTGACCATCCCTACAGCTCCAGTGGTAGGAGGGCCTTGGTTCCCAGGGATCATAGCAGTTCTGGAGCCACAGTTTTCTGGGGCCTGCTTAGGTGATACGGGAAGGTCACCAGCATGCCAGCCTTGGACAGACGCTTTCTGGCTCTTCAGGAGGGGCAACTCCTGCCTCTCCCTGGGGTGAACAGCTGAATGCACCTTCACTACCTTCCTCACCTCCTCACCTACCCTGCCACCTGCAGTAGCAAGTTTCCAGCCTGGCCATCCCAACTTCTCCTTTGTATTCGGTTATAGTCAATCCCCGAAGAAGGCAATGACACCACCTCTACTAAAAAGCGAAAAACCAGGTAAGATTCTATGCACTGAGTCATTCTGGGGCTCATCAAAGCCCATTCTGGCTTTAGATCCTCAGGGGAGACAAGACAAGTTGGAGATGAATCCCTGCCCAGGGAAACTGCTCATTCTACCTATTCATTCATTCTTTTGTTTATTTATTCAATGAATGTTTATTGATCACTCACTATGTGAGTTCTGGGTTCATTGGGGAAGAATTTCAACAAGTTCCTGCTGTCACAGGGCTCATATCCTAGGGAGGAAAAGTACAGACAATGACCAAGGGGTGAGTGCTGTAAGGAAAAGTGTTGGACAGTGATGAGGACTGGCAGAGTTGGCAGGGGGTTCCCAGAGCTGAAAGACAGTAAAGATCCAGCTCTATACAGGTCCAGGAAGAGCCTACAGGCAGCACTCCCACCTGCCTGGCAAGCAGGCCAGGATAGCCAGGCCCCAATGGGAGGGAACAGAGGTAAGAGACAGATGAGATAGGTGGGCATGGCCAGCCTGTGGTAAGGCCAGATGTGTATTCTCATGCAGATTCTATGGAGATGTGGAGGTATGGGATGGTTAGAAGCAGGGTGTGCATGACTATGGGGGCGAGAAGGGATGAGGGAGATTGAGGCCACTGCAGCTGTTCAGATGCCTTAGAGCAAAGCACATGGAAGTGGGGTAGAGCTGGTGGGAAACAGGACAGATATCCACTGTGTACCTTATTCTCCTTCACCAGATGTAAAGGTCCTGAGTGCCTGGCAGGGTGTCTGACAGAGAGTAGGCATTTAACTGACATTTATTACCTGGCTGTTGAAAGACAAGAGGGTGGTGACAAGGCTCAGAGAAGGGAATCAGCTCATCCCAGTTCACCAGCAATGCCAAGAGCAAATATGGGGCTTGACTTGGGCCTCCCCACCCTGCACTCAGACAGCCACTCAGGGCCTTTTCAAGAGAAGGGATCTCTAGGCAGCTCCCAGGATGGGCTCAGCCCCCTCCAGATCCTCTCCTGCCTGCTCTCTCCCCTTCCTCCAGAGTATATTGGGAAAGCTCAAGTTCTCCGAATGCATTCCAGCCAGAACACAGTGGACGAAACATCAAAGACAAAGGCAGAGAGCTGAGAAGCCCTCACAACCTCTCATGCCCTGCTCAGAAGCAGACCCCGAATTCAGGGCTGCATCTGCTCTTACCACCTCAACAGCAGTACCGAATGCCCTACCACAAAGAGTCTACTTAATAAATCCTGTCTTCCCGTTCAGAGGACAGTTCCACTTTTCTAGCCATAGAAGGTCTGTGCTTGGGGTCATTTATTCCAGGAAAGGAGGTGACCTGCTTTGAACTATCCTCACTCCCATAGAGAAAGCCCAAGGGCTACTCTCTATATAGGGCTTACCTGGCTTTTTATGTTCCAGAGACCTAAAGGGAAGATGATAATTGGGGTAGCCAAGAAAGAGGCTCTATTCCTCCTGGAGCCAAAACACACAGGCCTCTGGATAGTTTAGAGTGGCAGTCAGGGAACACATAGCCCCCCCTTGAAATGATCATTGTCTTAGTCTGTTAGTATGTTGCTAAACAGAAACACCTTAGAGTGAGTGATTTATAAAGAATAGAGGTTTATATGCCTCATGATTCTAGTGACTAGAAAGTCCAAAGGCATGAGACCACCACTGGGAGGGAGGGGGACCCAAGAGTCTTTATCTTTGCCCCTGCCACCAGTTTGTTTCATCACACATGACCAACAGAAGCACAGAGAGAAGGTGGACATGTGCAAGGAGATAGGAAACGGAATTTTCCTCTTCCTTTATTTGTCCTTCCCATGCCTCATTCATTTGGATGGTCCCCTCCCATTAGACTCCATCACTTAAAGGTTTCATCAAACCATTATAGAGGGGACTAAGTTTGAACATGAACCTTTGGGGGGCAAACTATTATCTAAACCATATCAATCATTGTTACCGATTTTTGTTTCTATCATGTGCCCAGCACTGAAGCAGCTACTTAGGTAATAGCTGATGAGGAGCACTATGGGAATTGCTCTACTATTTTATATGTGGTACCATAAGGAGACTTCAAAATGTTCTTGGGAAAATGGAAGTATGCGGTTGTTTTTGTGTGGTACCAAAAATTTAGTATAATTTTGTATAATTTTGTTTGTGACTATAACAACAGAAACAGTATGGCTTTAAATATTTTTGAGAAAATATTTACATGTCACCTACTCAAATTGTTGAAAATAAAATGACCAGCACACTAGGCACACATAAACCCTTTCAGTTCAGCCCTGCCTACCAAGTATTCTGTGATATACCATCCCCTAGAAAAGATCAGTCTCTTTTTCTTCCTTCAAAGTCTTTCTCAAGATAATCCTCTGGTGTGGTTGCTCTTTTGCAATCTCTACTGATTACAATGCTGGACTGGAAAAGTCCAGGTTATTTTATTTTATAAATTATTTCATATATCTTCTCTAATCCTCTATCAGGCAGAACTATTTATGGTGCCAGGCCATCTTTCTAAGAGTTTCTGTTGGCTTATGTGAGATCCACCTTCGTTCCATAGTTTTCTGATTAATCTTCAGGTATTACATTCCAGTCAAAGCCCTGTCCAATAATGAGTATTTCCAATTTCTGATTCAATACAACAAGCATTATTGAACTTGTTCAAATAACTCTTCTGCCACAAACTAAGAATACTCCCAAATATTTCCAATTCAAGAAGGGTCAGGAAGGAAGAAAAGTTTATGTTTCTATTTAAAGAAATAAACAAGAAAAAGGAAAATATTTTAACATATTGCTGAACCTATCAACAACTCAGAAGAAAGTAATATGTTTAAATTGGGAAAACAAAGCATAGTAAAAAAATAAATAAATCAGTAATGTTTTACTCAAAAGTCATAAAATTCTATTTCACCATTTCAATCTTATGTTCAAACTCTCTTCTGTTGAATATGCAGTGTTAGTGTGGTCCAATCATTCCATTTAAATCCTGGAAGTTAACAGTCAACATTATTATTGATATTTCTTGTCCTTAACATTAAATTGGTGATTTTCTTGGTAGCCTTTTGTTCCCTTATTTCTGTATGTGTCTTAGTTTTTATGGTAGAGCACTCCTTTCAGAACTTTTTGAAGAGTGGGTCTGCTATTGACAAATTCTTTCAGGTCTTGTTTATCTGAGAATATTTTTATCCTTTCTTTCCATATGAAAGATAATCTTGTCAGGTATAGTATTCTTGGTTGAAACTGTTTTTCGCTTAACACTTTGAATATATTTTCGCATTCTTTCCTTGCTCACATTGTTTCTGATGAAAGCTCTGAGGTTAGCCTGATGGGATAACCTTTATAAGTAACCTGATGTTTCTCTCTTGCCAATTTTAGTATCTTGTCTTTGTCTGTAGAGTTGGCCAGTCTGGCTATGATGTGCCTTGGAGATCTTCTTGGGTTGATTCTATTAGGGGTCCTTTGTATTTCTTGGGTCTGGATATCTGAATGCCTCTCTAGATCTGGAAAGTTTTCTTCCAAGATTTCATGAAATAGATTATCAATGCCCTTATTAGTTTCTTCACCTTCTGGAATACCGATTGTCCAGATGTTTGGGCACTTAGGGCTGTCTAGTATTTCTCATGTATTCTCATTTTGGGGGGGTTATTTTCAGTTCTTTTTTTTTTTTCCTAGATCTGAGGTTTTGCCTTCAACACCTGAGATTCAATTTTCTGCATGGACTAATCTGCTTTTAATACTTTCGAGAGAGGTTTGATTTCCTCAGTGGCAACCTGCAACTCTAATAGCTCCATCTGATTCTTTTTTATGGTGTTTATGTCTTCTTTCAGATCATGGAAGAACTTGAACACCTTCTGGAACTCAGTGTCTCTTTTCTGCTGCATCTTCTGGAGTTCATCATCTCTCAGCTCTTGCATCTCGTTTAGTTTTATAACTATGAATATTCTGAATTCTTTATGAGACATTTCCATGAGTTCTACTGTACTATCTGTGGATGTTGAAGGATTGTTCTTTTCCCTAAGGGGAGAGATATTTTCTTGATTTCTCATGTCTCTTGTGCCTCTTCAGTTGTTTCTGGTCAATCTATGACAAAAGTCTACCCTCTACTGCACTTCACAATGTGGTATCCACAGGAAGATTCGGAGTTCAGATTTATAAAAAGAAATTTCTTCATTAGAGCAGGAGGTTCAATAAATGTTAAGGATTTCAATGATCCTAAAAGTATTTAGATGCTTGGCTACTGTGCACCTAGGCCTATTTAGAAATTCAGTGTGTGGAGGGTAAGGCTTAGAGTGTGAAAGTAAGGTTAAAAATATATAAGCAAAAAGAAAAAGAAAACTAGAAAAATACTACCAAAAAAAGAGGGGAAAAAAGTGGGTTTTTTTTTTCCACATAAAATATGAAAACCACGCATGTCGGAATAGGCCAGGACACACCTCAGCTTTAAAATGGCTTCTAAATTTACCAAGTGAAAAAAAGGCCCAAAGTGAGAAGAAGTGGTTGAAATTTTTTTTTTTAATTAAAGAGACAGACAGACAGACAAAAAGAGAGATAGCCAGAGACAAAGAGAAGACAGAGGTCGCCTTACCTTGTCTGAATATTTTGGGAGTCTAGAAAATGGAGTTTAGAGCATAGCTTCCCTCAACAGGCCAGAACACACCTCAGCTCTCAAATGGCTTCTTGTCTTAATATTTTGGGAGTCCAGAAGATGGAGATCAGAGCATAGCTTCCCTGAACAGGCCAGGACACACCTCAGCTTTTAAATGGTTACATCACTGGACTCCCACATAGTCAACCACAGTTCAAGTCTCAGACTTAGCAGCTTAAACCTCATGCCAGGCGCATATGAGTCCTTGCCCAAGATCCCAAGAGGAGAATGGAGGAGAAAGGATTATGGTATGGCCCTCCCCCCACCCCCTGCCATGCACCCAGGGAGTTATTTCTCACTTTCTGTCTCTCTGTCTCTCTGGTGAGTTCATGCGCCCTATAGCAAAAATCTCTCTAAAACAAGATTGTGCTGAAATATCCATAACATAAAATGTACCATCTTAACCATTTGTAAGTATATAGTTCAGTGATATTAAGTATATTCTATTGTGGTGCTATCATTGCTGCATGCCACTTATCTCAAGAACTTTCTTCATCTTGCAAAATTGAAAGTCTATCCACTGTCTTAGATAGAGTGGGCTTCTATAGCAAAATACTTTAGACTGGGTAATTTAGAAACAAAAGAAATATATTGTCCACAGTTCTGGAGGCTGAGAGGTCCAGAATCAATGTCCCAGCAGACCTGGTGTGTGGTGAGAAGCCTTCTACGTATGCTCACATGGCAGAAGGAGAAAACGAATCTCTAATTACCTTTTGTAAGGGCACAAATCCTATTGATGAGGGAGAACCCTCATGAACTAAGCACCTCTATCTCTTATTACCATCGCCTTGAGGGTTAGGTTTCAATATATGAATTTTGGAGGACACAAACATTCAGACCATAGCACCCATTAAACAGGAATTCCAATTCCCCTCTTCTCAACCTCTGGCAACCACTCTTTACTTCTTTTCTCTAATAAATTTGTCCTTTTGTGACTGGATTGTCTCACTTAGCATAATGTCTTTAAGACTCATCAATGTTCGAGTGTGTGTCAGAATTTCCTCTGGTGTATATTTTATTTTTTAGCCAATGCAGTGGTGTAGCTTCCAGCAGCCCCTATTCTCGAACTCTCCAGTCTAATCCTGGCTTGTCCAGCCTTATTAAAGGGCTGAGCCGATCAAAAGCTCTGTTCAAAAAACAGAGTCATTGTTTCTTCGCAGTTGTGGCTATGATACAATAGCCCTCCTCCATTACAAATAATTAAAAAAAAAATAAATACGCACAAAAAAATTCTAGAAGATTGGTTTTCAAAATAAACCATACTTGGCATAAAAACCCTGGCACTATAAGAGAATCCATCTAATTCACCTTTATTTTTCAGAATCTATCACTGTGAGTTTTGTTTTGTTTTGGTTTTTGTTTTCATTTTGGCCAGAGGGTATGTGTTCTCACCAGAGAGAAACATAGTGACAGAGACAAAGGGAGAGAAGGCACCCCACTGGGGAATGATCATGTCACTGTCCCTTCTCCTTCATTTCTCCCTCCTTTCAGGATTTTTGGCACATATGCACATGTGCCTGGAGTGTTTTACAAGTCACCCAATGTGGAACCTGAGCCACGTGGTTGGTCATGTAGGATCTGGCTGCCTTATCCACCAGGCCGCAGGCTAGCCCCACTGTGAGATTATTATTTGTCACTGCAGATTCTCATCATTTTCATATTCCACTGAGTAGACCTCTCTTTAAAGTTGCTTAGCCCATCCTTCGCATTCATTTAATTAATTAATTATTTATTTATTTGTATGTTCTGCTTTGTCTTATGTTTGCTTTTCCAACTCCCCGCATTGCATGTAAAGACCAACCTTTGGGGGCCTGGTTTCTTATCCATATGTTTTGAGAATAGGCTGTGAATATCTATCTCAGG